TGTGTGTGTGTGTGTGTGTGTGTGTGTGTGTGTGTGTGTGCAACATGCACCTCTGCAAGTGGATCCACCCTGCCTGACCCAGAGACTCTTCTGAACAACACTGGCAATGCAGGGCCCCGGCTCCAGTGCCCAGTGGCCCCGGCCTAGTTTCTTTCAGTTGTTTGTCTCATCTCTCCTGACTTTCTTCTCCCTCGTTGTTCCAAAGATCCCATCTTTCAGCTGACACCTGAAGGGGGGTTCATCTCAGCTCAGCTCCTCTTGCACAGCCTGTTACTGGGTTTATTTTTTGCGTATGTGCTCATTGTAGAAAATCTTAAAAATATAGGCAATATGGAGGGTAAAATAAGGGTCATGACCTGCCAGATGGACAGAGCCACCAATAGTGAATGGATGTTTCTGCAATATTTTCCTCTGAGAGTTTTCTTGGTTCTCATGCATGATTCCAGAATTGGACCTGTGGATATCGTTCCTGCTCTAGATTCTTCCATTGCTGTAGGATCAAGAATAAGGAGAAGTTTGTATAGGGAGTGGGAACTAGTCTCTGGAGTCACATGTGCCCTAGCACACACGACTCTTCTCCCACAGTCCTGTACTAACTTATCAAAGCTTAGCAGATACCACCCAGTGCTGAGACTGGCCCAAGCTAAGCTGTCATCCATCCTCCTCAGGACAGGTCCAGCCTCATCTCCTCCCTGTGACCCCACTCCCAGAATTGCAGAGTGCTCACATTCAGGCAGTGGGTTCGGGGCAGAGGCAGCTGTGCCTGGTAACAGGGTGGTCATGGGGGACTTCTGAGCCTCAGATGGACTACTACTGTGAAGGAAGTCCCTAGCACTGCCTGTGCTTCTGTTCTCTGCAGCATCTGGCGGACACATGCTCAGCCACTCCAGCCACAGGATGCCCTATGCCTGTAGCCCTGCCGAGGACTGGCCCCCGCCCTTGGACATCAGCTCTGATGGGGATGTGGATGTCACAGTGCTCAGGGATCTGTACCCAGATTCTCCACCAGGGTAAGGAGGCCTCATGGTGGGGAGAGAAGTGGACCCTCTGGATAAAAAGATCTCCCATCTCAGGGAAAGAACCTGAGTTTCCTGTGTGTAAATACAAAAGGATCCCAGCAGGCAGAGCCACAGCCTCTGCCCTCTGACCAAGCAAGTCCCCTTGAGGATGGACATGACTCAGGAAATGTCACCAGGATGGCCTACAGAGACCAGCTGAGATTCTTCAAGCTGATGGTTGGTGGGGAGGGAGCCTTGTAGTTTTGGGATGGTCTCATGACAGTTTTGGGGAGCCCTATAAGTTCCTCCAGGGATCTCCCTGGAGGTGAGAATGATGGGATGTTCAGGGTCATGACCATGGAATCAGTGTCCATTTAGGGAGAAAAATCTGTTGAGCTTCTCTTTGAGACACCAGCAATCCATGCCTATCCCCAGATCAGACTTTCTCACACATTGCAGGTGCAGCCACAGTCACCAGGCTTGGCTAGCCCCTGTCATGTGTTGGGTGACAATGGTGTTCATGAGACCCTGCCTTTCCAGTCCTGTGCCTGCCTTCTCATACTCTTGCTTTAGGCCATCCAGGTCCCAATCTCAGTTAGCCCTAGCAGGATAGGCTTTCATTAGCCTGCCCCTGTCTGATACGAACCTAGATAGCTCTAGCTCACAGAGAGCCCTGCCTCCTCCCACACCTCTACATCAAAGTAGCCTGCTGGCCCTGTCCTTTAGATGAGCCACAAGGACAGAAGAGCACCCTATGGAGCCCAAGTCCTTCCCCATACAGGCTAAAGCAGCTGAACTCCTTGGAGGACAGGGAGATGAAGTTCTCAGGGTACATCCTCAGGAGCTATAGGCTTCTGGTCCCACTCTCAACCTTGCCCCCCAACTACCTACAGTGCCTTCCTCTCACCAAGAAAAATCCAGTAAGTTGGATGGCCCATCCAATTTCACACAAGGAAATGGACTGTAAAGCTGAAAAGGAAGAGTTCAGTATACTGCTCCAGGAGACTTGGGAGAGTGGTAGGGCAACAAGGAGTATAGAAGGAAGCTTGCTGGACACTAAGCCTCTGTTCTTGGAGTGGGGCATCTGGAGCCCCTAACTCCTACACCTGGGACAGGAATTATCATGGACAGCCTTCACTGAGGGCATGGCAGCCCAGGAAGTGACAGTGCCTTCTTGAGTTCTCCCAGCCACCTGCAGTCATTATCATTTAGAGCAGGGGATCAGAATCCTGTCATTTTCTCCCTGCAGACCCTGTATCTGGCTAATATGTCATTTTCCCCTCCCACCAGTGACTTGGAGAGAAACAGTAGATGCTTTTAGCCCTACAGCCATGGCTTCAGGGACCCCGGGGGTGCCTTCCTAAACCTAGAAGACAGCAACGGAGACATTTCAGGGGATCCTACCTGGCCCATTCATAGTGCCCAGCCTGGTCCTAGATCATGGCTGCTCTTGCTTCAGGGAATCTAAAACCCCCCCAGAGAGAGAGGTGTAGGGACTTGCTTGGGTTCATATGTGATGTGAGGTAAAGTCGATCCAGGACCCATGTCTCAAGGATTTCAGACTGTCTTCCCTAGGGACTAGTGGGGTCTCATAGGAGCCAGCATGTGTGAGACAGGCCATCTTTCACAATGAGGGCAGTTCCTCACTACATAGAATAGACTCTTCCGGACCTGCCCTAAGGTCTAGGGATCCATAACCCCTGAGTGAAAACTCTTCTCTCACAGCTATGAGGAGTGCGTGGGACCAGGGGCCACTCAGCTGTACGTCCCCACGGATGCACCACCACCCTACTCACCGACTGACTCCTGCCCCATGCTGAATGTCGCCCTGGACTCAGGCAGCGGCCACAGCCACAGCCAGCATCAGCAGGAGCAGAGGACCCACGGCCGGAGTGGCCTCCACACTGTCTCCATGGACACGCTGCCGCCTTATGAAGCTGTGTGTGGAGCAGGTTCCCCATCTGACCTGCTGCCACTGCCAGGACCAGAAGCCCAGTCAACTAACTCCCAGGGCTCCCCCGCCCAAACCCAGGCTCCAACTGCCAGCCCCAAGAGGATTGTGTGAGTGACCCAGCACATAAGTCCCACTGGTCCTTCCAGGCTACCCTATCTTCTCCAGGCACACAGGTGCACACATAACTCATGCACATGCATATATATGACTACACACATACACTGGCATACCCCAAGTGGACACACGACACATACCACACACATAAAGACGCCTGCATATACACAGGTCCCACTACCACAAACTCACCTGGGAAGGTTTTCTTTAGATGAAGTGCCCCCCATTAGGTGTCTCTCTGCACCCCCCACCCCCAGCCTTGAACCTGGTGGTAGTGCCTCTCTAAACAGTGTGGGCAGAGGTGAGGTAGGAAGCCCTACTTCCTTCCCTCTCTCCAGCCTCCTCTAGGATGTGGCCACAATCTGATTCTCCTGCAGAATGCTTGGTCCACTTCCTGCCAGAAGCCCTACCCCAGGGTTTTTCCCACTGGGAGCCAAGACAGGTCCCAGTGAGGCCCCACTGTGCACTGTGCCTATCTTTTAACTCCAGGGCAGAAAAGCCACAATGCCACCATCCTGCCACTTACAGAGTGGAGAAACAGGTCTGGTGACTTAGGCGTGACCTGGAGGTCCTCACAGCCCATTGAGCCCCTTGCTATCTCAATGTCTTCAGTTTGGCGGTGCTAGTGGGGTTAGCTCAGACTCCCACCCCGAGTTACAGGAGGAGGACAGGCCCTTGGATGTGTGTCAATAGAGGAGGGTCACAGTTCTTCCCATGTCCATGCCAGGCTTGGGAGTTCAAGGAAGACAAGGTATGGGTAGCCTCAACACAGTGCTACTTAGACACTACTCAGGGGCACAGAAGGGCCCACTGCTCAGTAAGTGCCCAGCCAGCCCTGGCAGCCTGAGCCCAAGAAGTCCTAGGCTAACCCAAGAGCCGGTGCTGTCATCCACGGTGGCAGCTCACAGCTGGGGACTGAGTTGATGAATTCTGGCCTTGTCTCTCTGGGGCATACACAGAGACAAACATAAAAGGAATACAGACCCCACAAAAACAAACAAACAAAAAACAAAAAGCACCATGCCACTATGAGAAGATGCCATCATCCTGTCACAGAAGCAAGTATGTGGAGACAGCTGGTTGGAGAAAGATTGGTATTAGCCTGTGAACTCCAGCAATCTCCATCAAAGACTATATAAGGTGATAGAGGTGATCTTGGAAGACTCAGCCTGCCAAAGGTTGTGGCTAAGCGTCTTTGAATAGTGTCCTGCCAGCATTGCCGGTGACAGGGAGCAAGACACCTGCCTCCCCGACTCCCCACTTTTTGTCACTCATCCCAAAGCAGCAGACCCACCCCCATTGAACCTCCTCCCACATTTCAATTTCTCCAATGAAGGGCTAAGAAAATTCAGCAATCCCTTTCTTAAGCAGAGGGTGACAAGGATGGCTATCTTGAATTTTATTTTCTATAGAGATAGCATTTATTCTGATGCAGAATCAAAAGGGACCCACTCACAGGTTCTGTAGCATCCTTTGAGTAGTATCCTAGAGTGATGACCTCCACCTGGGAGAGGGAACCTTGTTTACAAGCATCTCTGCCCACCTTTGTGATGTTCTGCTTTCTAGGCAAAAAAAAATATTGTACTGTATCGCCTTTCAAATGCACCCCAGGGATGAGACTCTTTTAAGAAATGCAGTCTGTTTCTGTGGCTCTGAAAAGTGCTGGGGGAAGAAAAAACATCCCTGCCCATTCATCATGATGGAGGGCTCTACAGGACAGCTTTTCTCCTTCCTAGATTAAGCTGAATAAGCAGCAATGTATCTTTTCTTGTTCAAAATAAATACATCGTATCAACAAAGATGTAGAGAGAAGTAACACTCACTTTCAAGGAGTCATGGGGGCCCTGGAGGCTCCTGATGGCTGCAAATTGAGAGGAAAAGAACCCCCTAAATGGAAGCAATCTTAAATCTGCCACTGAATTCTGACATGCCCAGCTGGCTACTGCTCAGGTTTGAGCCAATGAGACCAGGTTGTACTCGTGTAGACAGTAGTGTTTACATAGTCAGGCTCACAGGATTTCTTCTCTGTTCTCTGCTTTTGTTTTTTGTTTTTTGTTTTTGTTTTTTTTTGAAACAAGATTTTGCTGTGTAACCCAGCTGGCAATCCTCCTGTCTCTGCTTCCCTAGTTCCTGGAGACACCTATTAGTCTAGACTAGCCAAGTCCCTAAAACAACCTGTCTCTACCTCCCAGCCCGTGCTGTTGCACCTGGCTTTTTGTGTGGTGCTGGGCATCTGAACTCATGCTTGCACAGCAGGGACTTTACCCACTAAGCCATCTCCTTAGCCCCCCCCCCCCCCACTTTTTTTGTTTTTGTGTGCAACTTCTCTGAGACCTGTCTGATGTTAGTGTGAATACAATGAGCCTCCAATTTCAGGACTTAATTAAGAAATGGTATACGGACAGAAATGTGCTTTTTGCTCCCCTCTGCAGAAACACTCCTCTTTCCTATGGCCGTTCAGACAGAGAATTTACCTGGTGACCACTTTACAGATGGAGTCTGACTTCCTTTCTTGGACAAGTTTCCCTTCTGCTAGAACCCCAGTGCACTAGCATAGGCCTAGCCACCCAAGATCACGCCCTGAAAGTGGGGTGTCATCCAAACAAGCAGAGGAGGGCAATTTTGAAACGGGTCCACAGGCTCCTTCTGGAAATCCCATGTCCCTGCTGGAGAAATGTAGGTCGGCTGTCCAGCACTGTCCACTCTCAAGCCCACACTGCCACCTGCTGGCTCCCTGCCACCACTGTTCCTTTTCACAAAGTCCACCCTAGAAGAATGAGGAAACTCCTGCCACGGGACACTCAGAGCTCTATGCTGAACTTGACACTTGGATCCTGGGCATGTCTTCTGCCACTGAGATGTTCTGTGAGGTTGAACCTGTTGTCTCATTTTCTTGAGGAGACTCTGTCCCTCAGTCATGGTTTCTGGGAATTCCTGTTGGCTACGCTCTCCTCTCTATATGTGAAATACTTCCCCCTCTGTTCTGTATGTTACTGTGTTCCATGCTGGGGCTCCTCCTCCTTCATGGTGATGGTGTCCAGCATGTGCTGACTCCCTCCCAGACCACCTCCACTGACACTCATTCTAAACACAAGTTCTGGAACTATCAGCCTCTTGGTTCTCCCTCTCTCTTCCATCCACACACTCCTTGGGCTGTGGGCATCACGCTCAAGACTCTGCATGATCCTACAAGGAGTCTGACTCCTCTCCTTTCCAGGAAATAAGGCCCAAGGAGAACAGCTGGGTGCCTAGAATCCTCAGAGATGAGATGTGATGGTCTACCATCTAGATGATATGCCAGGAGGCAGCAGGACCAGATCCTGGAACACAACCATACTGTCCAATAGACTGGCTAGAGAGGTAACCTCAGGGCAATGAAAGGAGGGAAGGAAGCTTGAGAAGATGTGGGCCCCTGAACTTTATCCCACTGGCAATCCAAGAGCCACTGCACGTCATGCCTTGAAATCAGGCTTCCTGAGGTGACCTAGCCATGTCACTCACACCTGGCTCCCAGAAGCACTGTTTGGAAGCTTCTCTTTACAGAGTGTTGGTTCCTGCCATGCAGACTCTTGTGATCAGAGGAGGACTTCATATAGAGAGGCCACAACTGTTGGCAGGCAAAGTGACTGAGTCATTATGGATGGGAACTGAAAGTCCCAGGCTTTAGATAGATCCAAAGGCCCCTGACACAGCTGAGTGACAAGCCTCACCCAATCCAATGGGGAAAAATAAGACACTAGTAAGGCTACAGAAGTCCAAGGGCACCTCGTGCAACATACACCATCATTGGGTTAAGTGTGCATTCATACAAACCAAGTTTGTATAGCTAGATCTCTGTCTGTCTGTCTGTCTGTCTGTCTGTCCTCTTCTTCCCTCCCCCCCTCCCCCTCTCTCCCTCTCCCCCTCCCCTCTCTCTCTCTCTCTCTCTCTCTCATGGCACCATGACTTAACTCTCACCTCCTGTGGCTTCATACACATTTACTCAGACAGCCTTGGTGCCCATGCTAGTACCCCTTGTATTCAGGGCTTCCATATGCACAACCAGGTGTTGCACACACTGAGGTAACCCACATTCATGCCCAGATGTTCCCATCCGCATCCTCTGACACTAGCATGGATGTCCGGGAACTGGACATGAGCAGAAAGGCAACAGCTTTATCATCAGAGGGAGAATATTTATTGTCCTGGGTTCTGTTCTACTGAGCTGCATATTTCCCAAGCCCAAGTTAACCCTCTGGAGCCCAGGAGTCCTTTTCTAGGCAAGGCTAGTGGACCTGAGCTTGGAGGCTAGGTACACTTTTGCCCACAAGGCTATAGCATAGCTGTTTGCCCAGCATATCTCCAAGAAATCCCAAGGTGGTAGCCCTGTTATTAAGCCTCAACCACAAAACTGCCACACTCAGCATGACACCTTGGGGTCTGGGGAGCAACTGTGGAGTAGTATAGGTTGGTATCTATTGAAAGGGAGATCTTGAGCCCCTGACAGGCTCTGAGCGCTAACCGTCACACTCCCCTTTACTCAACTGCAAGAGGCAAGAAAGAATACTTACTGGTTCGTGTAACTACATTGTCAAGTGATAAATCAGATTTGAGGCATGGCTGGATCCAGAAAATCCAAGGATATGGGTTAGTATATAGTCTCTCTGGACTCTGACTACTACACTGCCTCCATTCTCCCACTGGAGAAATGACAGTAGACACACCATGTCTGAATTGGTTGGCTCCTGAGTCAAAATGAAGAGAGACCCTCTCTCTCTCTGCCAGAAATCAAACATAAATACCTCACAGAAATCTGAATGGCCTGAACAGGACTCTCCTGGAAGCCTCTAAAGGGCTGTGGCTGGGGGCAGGGCAAGGGGGTCTCTGATTATCTCTGGCCAGAGAACATATGCCACTCTGGGAAAGAGGAACCAAATATTCTATCCTGAGATGGGTTTTCCAAGAAAGGGGATGAGATAAAGAGGACTATATACTCACAGAACACCAGGCTTTAGTCTGTTTCCTCTACCCTACCCATCATCCTACCCACATGTCCGTGTCCAACCTACCACTCTACCCATCTTGGCCCTCTCCACCATGCTCTACCCATCCTGGTTCTACCCACCAACTGTCAGTCCTAGTGATTGCCTACCAGGAGTCGATGATGACTACATGGTAATGAGGAAAAATGTCCAGGAAGGCAACACAGGAGATGATTGCTGACCATGGTCTAAAGCAGATGGAGAAGTCAGAATTGGCCTCCAGCTAGACTGAACTCACTAGGCAAAATTTTGAATCCATCCTGACTCTTGTGAGAGGAGGGCAGAGAGAGAGCACTGTGCTTAGAGAGGCTCAGCTCCAATGTCCATTGTACCTAGCTGTAGGGAAATAACCAGACCCCACACTAAAGCCATTCTATGAGTTATTGAATGTGCAAGACCTTCACAAGAAATACAGTCACTCACAGTTACTATACAGCTTTGCTTCTGAAGAGACACATAAATTTGGGCAAAGGTCTAAGGCATGGATCTGTGACATCACATAGAGCCTGGGGCTACAGTCCAGGGACTGTCTTCTCCCTCAGGACTCTCTCACTGGAACTCCTGTCTCTCCTCCTTCCAGCCTCTCTCTTCCTGGACTGTTCCTGAGTGTCTTGAGTTGTCTACCAGAGACTGGGGGTCCAGGGTCAGGGCTGGTTACTGTCCAGAGGGTGGTCCAGCACAGAGCCTAACAGGGGTGAGTGGGGCCTTGGAATAGAAAACTGTAACAATATGCAGTTCTATTCTTAAAGAAAACTGCCCTTCCCCTGGTGTTATGCATGAGCTTAATGACAATTAAGTGCGGAGTCTCAGACCTGGGACCCTCTGCCCAGGCAGCACCTTTAACTGAGTCTCCCTCCCTTAGAAGTTCAAGTTCATAGGCTATACAGGGACCTTAGGAGCTGTTGAAATGAAGGTCCCCCAGTCTCCCAAAACCAAAGCCATTCTTGAATATCCCTTGTCCCACCTTCCTCCTAATCCCCATTGTTCCCGAAAAGCTAAGCACACTAGTGAAAGCAGTTTCTCTTGAGGGCCCAGAAAGTACAACAACAAATACACCAGGCTGCAGCAGGCCAATGTGGAAGCAGGTGTCAGGCCGGAAAGCTGCCATGGAGAAGCAGGACATGTTCAAACATGGGATGCCAAAGAGGGGAGACTTCAGGAACCATGCCTGGTGTTTTCACTCCCCCTTCCAATCACAGCCTACTATGAGAACTAGAAGAGGTGAGTGGCTCTTAGGTATGATGGGTTCCCAAGTGCTGAGAACTGAAATGTCCATCTAGGTTGCGGAAAACAGTTAACTTAGTAAGAAATAAAAAGAAAACAGAATAAATGCACAAAAGGGAGGAAACAGTCTGCCAGTTTGTGAGGTCTGGGCTAGTGAAGGGTCACTCCAGTCTTCTTTTTAAGGAACAAATTTGCTTGGAGCCAAGGAATGAAAGGAAGAGATAAGAATCCAAACATGGTGGTGCGTGTCTGTAAGATACCTGAGTTTCAGCAGGAGGCCAGAGAATCGGTTCAAAGCCAGCCTCAGCTCCATATTGAGTATAAGGCCAGTCTGAGTGGCATGAGCCCCTCAGAAGCAAAACAAACAAAAATAACAATAGAAGAAGAAGAAAAAGGAGGAGGAGGAGGAGGAGGAGCAGGAGAGGAAGAGGAAGAGAGAAAAAGGAGGAGGAGGAAGAGGAGGAGGAGGAGGAGGAGGAGGAGGAGGAGGAGAGCTGAGACTCATTTTACACCTCTCTCCCACATAGGCACTTACTTCTTGGCCCAGGGACTATGCCCTT